AGCATCTATTCGTTTTCTATATTTTTCATTTCCCTCAGAACGATAAAAATTTGCGAGAAACGGTAGTTTTATCATACAAGAAAGAAAGAAAGAAAGAAAGAAATATTTATTTGGTACATAACTAAGAAAAAAAAAATAAAAAAAAAAAATTAAAATTAATATTTAAAAATCAATGTACCAAAAATTTTTGGTAATTTTCAGTGGAACCTGGAGAGATAGATGACGACTTTAACTACAATTATAACATATACCGACTTATAATTTAACAATAACAGATTATTAACATAACAACAATTGCATTTAACGTTATGTATGTGTGTGTGTGTGTGCGTAGTTTTTGTAAATGATTTGTAATGTTTTTGGAATTGTATTGCATTTTATTGTTATTTGGAAATAAACTTTAGGGTTTCAAGTGCCGAATTTTTGCATTGATATCAAAGGCTTTTATTTTAGTTTTGAAGGAATGAATAGACACGTTCGTTTCCTAGTAGTTCTTGAAGTTTTTTTTAATTTTTAACAGTGATAAGCTTTTTTTTGTGAACACAAAACGGTGGGTCAATAAATAATTTTCTTCAGCCACTTAGGATATACGGCGTATACTCGATTTCATCGTCCGAATTCAGACGATCTCAAATTCTTGTTAACTACTTATTCCGGCTCATTGCCGTTTACGCTAAGGGGTCGGCTTGACCGGTGACAGGATTTTATGTATTTGTAAAAATACACTGACTACTAGTCAGTGTATTTTTAAATTACTTATATTTTTTATCTTTATATATAATTTTCGACGACTTAATAAATAAAACTAATTTATTTGTATGAAATTATTTTACTTATTCAATCTCGTTACATATTTAGAAAAAGCTTTATTGAACGAGGTTTAAATATAAGAATTTTATGTTAAGGACTAATTAGATGTTTACTAAACTGCTTTATACAAGGATGTGATTCGCTCAGTTCTAAAATTAACACCGTGCAGTTTTTATTATAATACAACATATGCGTTTCAGATTTGTCATGGACAACATCATACAAAGAAATTCTTTGTATTCAAGAACTCGTTTTCATGTCTGAGATTGAAGAGAGAGTTCAATTTAAGACTTGAACGAATTGCGTGCGACATAATTCTCTTAAATAATTTACGCACGGACGGGACGATTTTATTTTTTTATGAGTAAAGAGCGGGTCAGAGTACAAGGCGGAAAAAACTTTTTGTTGTTGTGCTAGTTAAAACTATTCGCATTGTAGATCATAATTTGGGCACAAAACAAATAGAAATTGTTAGTAAAAAGAGGGTAAATAAATATTTAGACAGCAAGACCTACTTAGTTTCGATTCAATTTAATGCGGACTACGAAACAGTGTCTGCGTAAATTAAGTCGTCGTTGTTAAGGAATCATGTAATAAATTGGGTCAGATAAAATGTGCATTTTCAAATTTAACAGTTTGTATAAAACATGCATGAAAGAGTACATTTAAAGGTGTATTCATTGCTTAAAGTATAATTATGACTATAAATCTGGCAACATATTAAAAAAAATATTTAAAAAAATAAGGACACACCCTAACAATTAACGTTTACATGAGCGGGGCCGTCATCTCGTGGCGGTAGTGCGTTACGGCGCGTTGCTCGAGCGCTTGCATACATTGCATTGTTTGACATTTTCACCGGGTCCATATCATCGCAAACACTGTAAGTAATTGCATATTTCAATGCGCAATCAAAACAGTATTATTGGAACATTAATTGGTAATTGTCTATTATTTGGAACATAAATCTGGTATCACGCGAAGTTTCATAGTTGAAGAGATCCATTAATGCTGTGTTAATGTTGAATCGCTTAGCCAGCCAGTTACTCCGAGATAATCATATATTTACCGTAACCGTTTCTTTATCCTAAAACTTTGAACCTAGAGTGTTAGATATTATTTTTGACTTATCCGTATAATTAGAGTTATTGCCTAGATTAGGTGTGTTAACACATCTAGTTTTATCGGAATTTATGATTCTACTTTTATGGCGTTATTAAGCGTATTATGGTTCAATGCCTAGAATTGATAATGATAAAAATCCTATTTCGTATTATATTATAATAATAGTTTAGAGCCGTAGGTCGTTAATATTGTTACAAAAATGAACTTAATAAGTTTATGAAACGAACATATTAACTGTAAATAAAAAAAAAATAAAGTGTTTTCCAGTACACACTGAGAAAAAGTTTAATAGTTTGTAGAATATTTTTTTTATTTTTAATTTAATTAAAGGTTCATGTCGCTGTGCGTTGTAGAATATTAAGCATGGTTTAGAGAATAACTTTTCTCTATATGCACTGATCGCTTTAATGTTATATCATATTATTCTAGCGGAATTGGACCAACGACCATGCGATTTATTGCTTTCGCGATTTCTTTCAACATTTTCATAATCTTAACATTTAAGGGCACCAAGCTTTGGAGAAGGTGAAAATGTTCATTCATCAACAATTTCGCGGACAAGTTTTGTCAATGATAATTAAAAATCAATAACAAAATAGAGACTTGGGGCTTTAAAACAGATTTAGTCTTCGTTTTAACATGCCATTGTCAACTAAAATCAAGTTATTCATCGTAGCATCGACACCAATGTTTTATCCTCGGTTGCGATTTAATAATGTTTATTAACTTATTACATTACACTTAGACCACGTTATTAACTCTTAGAGATAATGTTTAAGTGTTTGCTCACTTTCGAGGTTCAATGTTATCACTGGAGCCGATTACGTAGTCACAACATTAATATACCTTGCTCCTAAATGTAATTTTTATATTGTTTACATTCCGCAAAATGACTTATGTACCAAGAATACTGTCTCTAAAGATGTCATTTTACTTTTGATATTTTATTGTTCAAAAGGTACAAGCTACGAAATTAAATTACGATAAAATTATTCTTATAAAACGGCGCATTTTCTTACAAAATTCAAATAAAAAAGTCAAATAAGTTTATTTGTCTAAACAAATACTTTAGACGCTGTAAAGTGTACGAAACGCCACAGCGATCATTTGTAGTAAAATCTGTAAAATGGTATGAATTACAGTAAAAGTAAATGATCACATTAAAGAAAACTGATGACTTAGCGCCGTCGCTAAGCAATTGGCTTCGGGGACGTGGGTTCGATTCCCACACGGTACAAGTATTTGTATGACACACAAATACCCACAAATGATTCACATGTGCCGATCCAACATAGGTAGGATAAGGGCAGGAGCATAATGATGATCTAATATGAAAAATGCACGTATAATTTTGTTGTTTTGAATTTTTGCAATTTCACTTTCTACTCTGTTTCTACACGAAGAGACCCACTAACCGTCTACACAATATCTAGAATTTTCCATAAAAATCGTATTAATGAATACATATTTGTTTTGTAATTTGTGATACTAATTTGATATTTACAGTCAAATTGATATTTTTCAGTACCAATGAAAAAATAAATAAAAAACTTGTAAATCCTTACATATAGGTACTCGTATTTGGTATCACATTATAATACGATTATGTTACTGATCATGGAAATATGCTCACTCATAATGTTATCCTTTGAGTAATTATGTACATAAGTATGTCATTATCATATTAAAACAACTTGCTCAAAAGGATCTCTGTATTTATCATCACTACATATTATGGTATAAAACAAAGTCATCCCGCTGTCTGTCTGTCCCTATGTATGCTTAGACCTTTAAAACTACGCAACGGATCCTGATGCGGTTTTCTTTACTAGATAGAGTGATTCAAGGGGAAGGTTTATATGTATAATACATTGCACCCGTGCGAAGCCGGGGCAGGTCGCCATTAATACTATAAATTGTGCATAAATATATAGTATAAATATTTATATGTAAATATTTGTATGTTATGCGTAAATAACGGTTTTTAATTACAAAATTTATTTATTATAGTTACCAAGTTATTGCTCGTACTTCAAGATCTCACCACGCCATAGGTTAAGTGGTAGAGAATTCCGTTTTGGTATTAGGTCCACTATTTGTGTTCTTCGGTGTCCAACGTGATGCGGTAAAGATTAAACAAATAAAAATAATAATAAAAGAAGCCCTTTCAACTTGGCTCCTACTTTCCAGAATGTGTCCTTGGAGTTTACCGACCGCCTTCAGTTGTTGGGAGTCGAAATATCCTCAAACCTCAATTTTGGGCGGTTCATTGAGTCTAAAGCCAGGGTAGCTGCAAGGAAGTTAGGCGTCCTTGCAAAGGTGCGACGGTACTTCACGCCGGGACAGCTTCTTGCTCTTTACAAGGCTCAAGTCCGATCGTGTGTGGAGTACTGTTGCCATATCTGGACTGGGGCTGCAAAATGCCATCTGGCTGCCTTGGACTCAATGGAGAGGCGTGCGGAAAGGCTCATTGACCATAACTTGGTTAAAACCAATCTCACTAGCCTTGAGGACAGGTGCAGAGTCGCCAGCCTCTCGGTTTTCTACAGGATACATTCTGGAGAGTGTGCGTTGGAGTTACATGATCTTATTCCTCCCGCCCCTTTCCATCATCGGACAACCAGGCGTTCGGCGGGGCTCCATCCTTATGCTGTCGACGTCCCACGTACAAGAACAAAGCGATTCGCTTCTTCATTTATCATCCGTACAGCTAAGGAATGGAATAGCCTGCCGGCGTCCGTCTTTCCGTCCAAATACAACGTTGGCGTCTTCAAGGCAAGAGTGAATAGGTTTCTACTGAGCTAGCGCGTTTACCATCAACGGCTGCATCGCCACTTACCATCAGGTGGGATGGCAGTCAAGTACTGGCCAGTTTTTTTTAATAAAAAAAAATATTAATTTACCCATATTAATTTCATTGATATTGGATCTTTGGCTCCGGAGATACTAAGGGGACTCCTGGAAATCAATCATAAAACGAATACAGGGCGAGACATTTGAAGTCGGTTTTCTTTTCGTTACTAAAAAAATGGACTTGTTTGTATTTGTGTGCACACACATTGCAGATGTCTAACGAAGCGACCGCTAAGGGCGAAGAGCGTCTTCTAGCAGAAGCCCGCCATAAGTTCCTCAGTTTGTTCGGGCGGGAGCCGACCGCGGCTGCCTGTGCCCCAGGCCGCGTCAACCTCATCGGCGAGCACGTCGACTACTGCGAGGGATTTGTTTTACCCGTGGTCCGTATGACGATGATACGTTTGCCCTTTCCTCAACAAGTAGGGTTGCCACATTTCTTTGAAGAAAATATAATTTTTTTTTCTAGGTGATAAAAATGTTGTACTTTTAGGAAATTTAGGGAAAAACATAGGACTTATTTATTTCTTGAATTATTGTTGTTATATACAACATTTACATCACAATTAACATTCATCATTATCATTTCAGCCAGTTTGAGTCCAATGTTGAACATATGCCCACAGACTGCCACGAAGCAAGATCCTGAGCAACCTGCATCCATTTAACATTTATAAAGTTCTATTATTTTTAAATAATCATAAAAATCCGTATTAAAGTATAATATTTTAATGAGTTTTCTATACAGGGTAGTTTTTCTAAAGGTGCCCAAATTCACCCAGGAGGTTCAGACTGGGTAGTATAATTGTTTATTGAATTAAATCAAACTTGTTTTTTTTTTTCAAAAAAATTGCAATTCTATTCCCTAAAAAACAGAACTTTTTGACAATGCGGTAGTCATTCATAAATGCGTCGTATACTTTTGAAACGAATTTGTGTGCGTGTTAGTTATGAATGATCGCGTGTGAAATAAATGAGGTGCCCATAAATCAAGCACTTTTTGAGATAAGTTCAAATGAATGTAATTAATTAATTACGAGTGATTTTAAATATTTATCATTTTTTATATAACATTATTTATATAGCTTAGAATTTAATAAAAAAAAATGGATACATTTAGAAAAGCCTCCCTGTATATTAATACGTGAAGCAAAAATTTTGTAAAATTGCGCGGACGGAGGCGTATGAAATTTCCCACTTCTATAGTTTATATAGAGGAGTTCAGAATGGTAATATTTTTTTTTAAATCATGCATAAAAGTACATTACATAATTATGGTCGAATTTCGACCAATGGGCAATCACTAGTATTTTTAATTAAATTACAAAACGATAGATTAACGCCGTTTTGAAATTCTCCACGCCACGAAGTAGATATGTTCAGTTTAAAAAAAAAATCCGTTCATATTACGAATGAAGTATTCCTGCTATTCCATTTGACAGTTCATTATTGAATCAGACCCGATAAGATCGTCGAAGAGGATGATTTCGAAGGCTTTGTTTTCGTCTATTCTCTCTTTGTACGTTATGTTTTAAGCGATTAAATGTTATATTACACAATGTTAATAAGTTATTGTATCTATCTTAGAGCAGTAATTTACTAGCTTTCCTTAAAAGGCAGTGCCTTATGTATTTATGCTACAGATTATAGCCATCTGTCGCTTTATGAAATCTACGTCTGTTCAGTTTCAGTTAAAAGAACTTGTACTAGCCTCTAGTAACTAGGGTGTACTAAGTTTAAAATGAAATAATAATTTTGCATGCTAAAATTTATTCGATTGGAAAAGTCTCATCGATAAATGAAGTTCGTAATGCTTCTTTGACAGTTCCACCATAATTACTTTTGTTGAGGACTCTGTTTGTAATTTAATTTTATATTTGACGCGGGAAATTAATGATTCGTAGACTTAGAGGTACTACCTAATGTATTGGTATTATATAAACTAGCTGTGCCCGCGACTTCGTTCGCGTGGAATTTAAATAAATAAAATTTCTATAATAAAAGTGGCCAAAGTTACTGCTTTAAGGGTTGACAACGTATCTGCAAGCCGCTAAGATGCTGTGGATGTTCTTGGGCGGCTAATAGATAAATGTCCCTTGTGTCCATTAAGTTGATATTATTATATATATTTTAGTTCTTGAAAATGTGTTTATCGACTTTGATTTTTCAGTTAACACAATTATTAATCGCCAAAGCATAGACAAGACGTTTATGACGCTACTCGCTCAATACAGATTTAATAACAGCCTCTTTCTAATGTCTTTTTAAAAGGTGTAGTACCTGGAGGACCGAGTTTTACTCGGTTTTTTTTTGGTAAATCGTGTATTTTGGAAATTACATTTATAAATTACTGAGTAATGAAATATGCATAATATTTTTCGATCTTACCGACGTAATAATAAGAAAATATGAACTGGTGTTTTTCATGAAAGAAAGAACTTTAAAAAAAGAAGGGAAAAAAAGAACAAAATCATCTGGATGGATCAAAAATAAAAAATAAAGAAAGCAATAATCGGGAATCGAAAAAAAAATTAAAAAAATATGTAAATGATCGTGACACGAACCACGACTTTCTGTTTTGGGGCCGCCCGATTACCGACCGAGCTATTATATCATTTTTTTTGCGGCGAAATTTACTGTCATATTCGAATGATATTTTTCATTCCCTGAAAACAGGGATAAAAGGACATTTTCTAAAAATAAAACCTAGCCAGATCGATTTTTCGCCCTCGAATCTACGCACATACTAAATTTCATGAAAATCACTGGAGCCGTTTCCGAGATTCCGATTATATATATATACAAGAATTGCTCGTTTAAAGGATAAGGATATATAAGAATTCGTTTCGTCGCTCGTTTAAAGGTATCACCAAATGCATGGCACAACACCGCATTTGGCTCCTCAAGGTGACGTATAGAAACGTCCATTTTTGACAGGCGCTTCCTTTCGTGACTCTCATAGTCGGCGGCTTTAACGACACAGAGGAATGTCAAGTCGTGTCAGTGTTGGCAGACGGCGAGGAACTTCGTACCAGTTTCCCCACACCATCGGCAGCGCCGCTGAATCGGGGATCCCCCGCCTGGACTAATTACGTCAAGGGCGTCGTCGCCAACTTCCCCGGTGGGTTAGCAATAACGTGCAAACGTATGCAAAAACTTTACTCATTGCTTTTTATCAATGTCAATTACTCTTTTGTTTACTTTGTTTGTTGTTTAGTTTTAGTTCCCATTTTAAAGAAAGTAACTGATTTTATTTTAGGTGATTTGAGGGGATTCAATGCTGTAATAGTTTCTGATGTCCCAATGGGTGCCGGGGTATCCAGCAGTGCATCCTTGGAGGTGGCCCTTTTCACTTTCTTGGAAGCACTCACCGGTATTCAAATAGAGTTAGTATAATGTAATACACCATACTTTTGTTTTCTTTTTTTTTATACGCTGTCGTTACTGGTATCCAGTAGGATAGGATAACATTATCCTGTGTTGTAAGAACGTTTTATAAATTTCACGTAGACAAACACCTAAATCAGGAACATTTTCTGTGGGCTACACACACATAGTTTTCCCGTGTGGGAATCGAACCCACGACCCCGGCGCCGAAGCCTGCGGCAACTGCGCCACGGAGTCATCCCTATTTTATTTTATTTTAATTTATTCGGAAAACTTACAGCTATTAACAAAGATAATTGAGTGATTTTAAATACTAAAGAAGCCATTTATAAGTTTTCACATTTAGAAATCTTAAATTACAGTTAGTATAGAAAATAAAACAAAATATGCTGTTGCCTTAAACCACGTTCACAATTTTAAATTTAATAAAAATCACGTACAATTTTTTTTGTAATAACAATTACGTCATGGTTAACGAAGGTATTACAACGTCTTTGACAACTGCGTTTCATCATTAACAGAGAGGTTCTGTTTCGATTTCGAATCGGTCAAAGAGCCCACTGTAGTTATTTTTCGTAAACGCTTTCTTGCAGTCCCGTTAAGAAGGCCCTGTTGTGCCAGAAGGCAGAACACGAATTCCCTGGTATGCCCTGCGGTATAATGGACCAGTACATCGTCACACTCGCACAGAAAGAACACGCGTTGCTGATTGATTGCAGGTACGTGTGTCCGAGTACTCCTAAGCCGATTAAGATAGTGATAGAGTGATCGATCTGATATCGCATTTTAGATTTGTAATGGCGGGCGTCAAGTCGTTCTTTACCGTGGTTATTGTTTACACTGTACTTATTAATTTCTCTAATAAAAAACAGTAATACTTTTTGCTGGGTTATCGGTTTCAAACTATCGCTGGGTTCTCGAGGTACAAAATAAAGTCACAGGGTACTTCTGATTGTGCACCTTTTTCAAGTCGCCATCCGAAGTTTTTTTTATTTTTTGAATGATGTATTTTTCATCTTTTATTTTTAGATTTTTTAAGTATAAAATAACTGGCAGTTGACGTGGACATAATTTTATTAAAATAAAATTCTTAGAACCAAATACGTTGAGTTTGTAATTCATTACGTTACCCTGACAAAGACGAATTGGCAGTGTTAATGTAATTAATGCTCCACCATTTTTATATTTTTTATTCTGACGTCATATTTTTTTTATGAAATAATTGTACAGTAGGTTTACAATATGATAAAATAAGCAACAAGTATATATATAATAAAGTAACAATCTGTATATATCCCATTGGCACAAAAAGTCAGTTGAAAAGATAACATAATGAATTAAATTCCACTAATGGGTATAAAGAGCCTCCTCTCTATAGAGAGTATTAGGGCTTATACCACCACACTACCTGCGGATAGGCAGACTTCACATATTTAAGAAATATTTTTACTTTTGTACTTGACTTTATTATTGTTGTTTCGAAAGGATGTAGGTTCCTTCACCACTGTATACGTGATTAGTCAGTACTTAAAATTTTAACAAACTATTTCAGTGTAATGAAATAAAGAATTAAAAGCCAGCGCCCGGACACTAGGCTGTCATGGCTCTTCTGTAGGCGGCCCCTAGTAATAAAATAATAGTCAAATAATTTAAATGAAGCTTGATAAAAAGTGGTAACTTGAATTAAATTATAATAAGCTTGTCGTATTACATACATTACAAGTGCTCTATAGCTAAAGTGGTCTCAAGTTAAACAAGTCGCAGCAAAGTAAAATTATAAATAAAAATAATTAAATTATGATACTTTAAGCTGATTCAATTTAGGCACATTTCGTTACACGATGTACTTTATAACGTGTAGAGAGAGATAGAGAGAGAGATAGAGGGAGAGAAAGAGAGAGAGAGAGAGAGAGAGAAGAGAGATATATGTATTGGAACAATTTCGGTTAGTTTGCTACGATTTTCCACAAGCGTTCTACTGGTGGAATCTAGTTGTGTACATGCCACTATTAGAGGCTAAGTAAGTGCGCTGACTAACAGAAGTTTCCAGGTCTTTAGAAGCGGTTCAGATTCCGATGAAGTTGGACGACTTAGTGATTCTGGTGGTGAACTCCAACGTGAAGCACCAGCTCACAGGTAGCGAGTACCCACAGAGGCGGGCGCAGTGCCAGGCTGCGGCGGACCGTTTGGTAATATCCTCGCTTAGGAGAGCCACTGTCAAGGATCTTAAAGGTGTGTTGAGTATAAGGGTTTGGACATTAGTTTATTAGTATTATTTTTTTATGCGAAAGTTTTTAAACTGGCAGGCGGTTCACGTGATTTTGTTTTGTGAGAACTTCTGTTGGTATGTTACAACCGCCGCCCATGGATATTCGAAACACCAGTAGGGTTGCAGATGGGTTGCCAACCTTATAATAAAGTTGGCCCCGGCTACCTCACTCACCAGACGAACCAATCACAATACGAAGATAAGATTAAAGTGCTAAAGGAAAAGGCTTTAAAGGTGAACGACGATTAGCTTACACTTTATTTGTTTGGTACACTCTGAAAGACATGATAGATAAGATAGAATTTAGTGTCTGAGGTTCCGAAATCGTTCACGATAGTTAGAGAGATGTTAGCAATAGTTATTTTTTGTCAGTTTCGTGGTAAAGTACGGGGAAATTTTGCGATTGACCTTGAAAAAAAACTTGGGGATGACTCAGAATTTAGAAAGTTTTAACATAACTGTTCATGTAGGTGGTAGGGCCACACAACAGTTTCGACTATTGCTTGAATGGGCAGGCTTGTCCGGGTAAGTACTCACAGAAAACCGGCGTGAAGTATTATACTTTCGCGTTTCGCTGGTGAGTGAGGTAGCCGGAGCCCAATTTTCAAAAAAGTTGCCAACGCATCTGCACACCTGTCCAAGGGCGGCGGTACTCACTTAACATCAGGTGAACCACCTGCTCGCTTGACAACTTTTCACATAAAAAAACATAACTGTCGACCAGGTTTTTGGTAAAATCACAGCAAATAACAAGATGTCGACAAATTCATGGCAAAATTCTTGCCTTTCAGAATTAGAACGTTTGGGATGCGACGAGCTAGTACTGAAGCGCGCTTCACACGTCGTGAACGAAATCAAGAGGACTGAAGAGACCGCGGATTGTCTGAGACGAGGAGACTTCAAAAGGGTGAGGAAAAAGTATTTGTATTATCTGCATGGTTGTCTATGTGATTTTTTTTTTCATTTATAATGATCGCTTTAATGTTTATATACAATGTTTGTATAAAAAGCAATATATAGAGTTTGTCTTGAGTACGGAGCGAAGTTATCAATTGAAATTTTTAATCAATTGAAAATTGGGATTTTTATTTGTTTTCGGGTTTTTATTGCTGCCATAAGAATTAAGGATTTAATTAAGATAATTGAAACTTATGAAATATTGTTATTTCAAACTCTGAAACAGTTTACTGGTAATATCATAATTGATTAGATACATGGCGAAATAAATTGAAACCATCAAACTAATTGATCGCACGCACTATTTAAAAAACTCGTGAAAAACATTAATATTAATGTGAGAAAGGAAATATTTAGAAATCGTACTATTTTAAAACTTCGAAATTTCCTCTGCGATTACAATACATACTAATAAACGAATACATACATTATACATACCCACTGTCTCCACCCATGTCCCTGCAAGGTATGACGTGACGGCTTCTTCCTTCCATCGTAATAATCTTCATCGTGCTTGCCTTATAAACTCTTGCCAGTGTTACAGTTTACATTGAGGAAAATATATTTGTAGAGATATGAGACATTTGTACGTTTTTGCATTACAGGTCGGAGAGTTGTTTTATGAGTCTCACGACTCCCTGAGTACTCTCATGGAAGTTTCGTGCAAGGAGTTGGACCAGCTGGTGGATATCATGAGGTCGGCGCCAGGAGTTCTGGGAGCTAGAATGACGGGGGGCGGTTTTGGTGGCTGCGTCGTCGCTTTGGTGAGCGTCTGATAAGACAAACAGACAGCCTCGTTGATAAAATTCAACATTTCTTCTCTTTTGATTACATAAGAATAAAGCGTGTAATATTTTTGGAAGCGTATGCTTGTAAAGTTTTCCTCCTATCTTCGAGGGCGCCAGCAGGTAGTCAATAATGGTGATTCCTCATCACGTTGGCTTAATCTGATTAATGGTGTTCCTCAAGGCGGTATTCTATCCCCTCTGTTATTCTCCGTTTTTATAAACTTTATCACTCATAATCTTCGCTGTGCGTATCATCTTTATGCCGATGACCTGCAACTGTATGCTCAGGCATCAATCGATACTCTTAATGAGGCTATTCTTAAGTTCAATGAAGATTTTGTCGCTATTAAGACCTGGTCAGATAAGTTTGGACTGACTGTAAATCCGACCAAATGTCAAGCCATAATAGTTGGGAGTTCCCGTACTGTTAGTAGAGTAAATTTAGTTAGCCTTCCACCGATTATTTTTGACAGCTCCCCCATCCCACTACAAAATAAGGTTAATAATTTAGGTTTGCTCATTGACGGGACGTTTTGTTGGAGAGATCAAATAGCTAGTGTCAGCCAAAAAGTCACTAATGTCTTGCTCTGTCTTTACCGTCTCAAGAATTTCCTGCCGTTGAAAACCAAAGTAACGCTCGTACAGTCCTTAATTTTTCCTTTAATCGACTATGGTGACGTGTGCTACTTCGACCTGAATGCAGATCATCTCAATAAACTCGACCGACTTCTGAATAACTGCATTCGATTTGTTTTCAATCTCCGCAAATATGACCATGTATCGTCTTATCGTTCACGGCTAAACTGGTTAACCATACGACAACGACGCTCTTTAAGAGCCTTGACCACACTTTTTTCTTACCTTGATTCCCCATTTACTCCTTCTTATTTAGCTCCCCACTTCCTATACCTTAGTTCAGTCAACACCAAAAATCTTCGCTCTAAACACAATCGCCTTCTGTTCTGTCCTCCTCATCAGTCTGATTTTATCCATTCCTCTTTCTTTGTTCAATCTATCCTTCTTTGGAATGAGCTTCCTCCCAAAATCAGAATGGCTAAGAATCGCCTTGCTTTTAAGAGAATGGCACGGAAATACATTTTGGGAAAGCTGCCAGCAGTTTCATGATATCATCAGATAAAAATATGTATGCGTATTTGTGTATATATTTATGTATATATTTATGTATATGTATATATTTATAGTACAGTATATATATATTTATATATGTAAACTTTTATTTAATTGTATTGTATTATGTATATATTTATGTGTAATTAGTAAAATATTTATATTTTAAATGTTTGTGCACCTACCTCAAAATCTCGGTACCACCCTAAGGTTGACTGGTAGAAAATGCTGACAGCATTAAGTCCGCCTATGTACAGAGTTATGTGCATGAAGTCTTAAAATAAAATAAATAAATAAAGGATAAAAAATATCTAGTTCAATTTTGTAGAAAAAAGGACGAAAAGTTATTGCCGCTGTAGGATTAGAACCCACGTCTTCGGCATTCGCGTCCTAACGCTATGGCCACTAAGATAAAAGCCTGATTGTCAATTAATTACAATTAATTAACGATTAGGATTTTCGTCGGCGTGGCTCATTCTTCATTCCATTGCTCTTAATATTTCCGGATTAGTTTTTAATTTTAGTGTAGTGGTAGCACTTAAGGTGAAACATTAACAAAATTTACAAGTACAAAATTTTTATATATAAATGAAAAGAAAACAGGGCTTCGAAGCGACTGGCACTTAATATAGAAATTAATCAGAGAAAAAATACGCTTTTGTTTGTGATTTAATTTAATTAAGTGTCTATGTAAACGTTGGCGGTACATAATCTAGTATGAACCTGTATAGAGAGCTTTGATTATGTACGATCAATCTGTTTGCCTCTTTTCCTATAAAAAAGTAATTTTATAATTCGCACTTGTCTTTACGTACACACATTAACTAGTTTACTTATCATGTAAACTAGTTAATATTCAATTATTACCTTTACTTGGCGATATTACAATATTACGTTGTTAGATACACTAAGGAGGTTTTCAAATTTTGGTGCCGATTGTTTTTTAATTTTTAAATATCTTCTTTTTTATGGTCTTGATTGAGCAAAAAAAAAATACAGTAAGATCTCAAAATAAGGTAATTTTGTGTATATAATATGATATGTCAATGGGGGAGGCCTATGTTCAGCAGTGGACGTCCTACGGCTGATATGATGATGATGATGATGATGATGAATATGATATGAAACTTAATAAGGAGTCATCGATATTTCTAAGGACTGGAACTTCGCTATGTGCAGAAAATGTCGAAAAATCTGGAAATATATCATTATAGGCAATGATGTTTTAATTAGGATGACGCATGTCCACACTGCGTGGCGTTTAAAAATTGATCTGCTTTACATTATATGACATAGATAAGTGAATGTGACAGATGATATAGAACGTATGATACTTAAGGAGATAGCAGTTATAGAATTTCAATCTAATTACACCAATTGGTGTAAATTTGAGTGCCTGATTTTCAGTGGGCTAGTGTCATGTCTACTATTTGTACCTATGTTATATCATTGATTATAGGCATTTGAACCAAATTATAATTTTTTTTTTTTTTTTTTAAAACATTGCCCTCACTTTAGGATAACATTATCCTGTGTTGTAAGGACGTTTTACAAACATAAATTACACGAGGACAAACACCCAGATGCGAAACAACTATCTGTGGGTCGCACAAATATTTGTCCCGTGTGGAAATCGAACCCACGACCCCCGACGCCGAAGCCAATAACTTGGCAAATGCGCCACGGAGTCATCAATATCATCAAATTTGGTATATCTATAAAGCTTATCTGTGAGCCGGCAAAATACGTTGCCTATGATAATATGATATAGCAGGTTTCTTATTTTTATTTATTTATGTAAAAGTGACCGACTTGACAGTCGTCTGTGTTGCCAGGTTGCCAAAGAACGGGCGAGCGACGTGAAGGAGAAAATACTTTCCGAATACGAGGGCAGACCGGTTTTCTTCAATTGTCAACCGAGTGACGGTGCTCGCGTACTGCGGTTGAGCTAGTAAATAAATAACGAATAAAACTGTCGTTTTTATTGAGCGAACAAAACAAGCGAACGTCTAATGAACTAACAGTACAAATAATTTAGGAACCGTAAGATAGAGGTACTCTGTTTTCTTGTCTACGAATTATGGTCTGAGGTTGTGATTTTAATAAGGGTAAACAGTAGATTAGATTTAAAACTAAAATATCATTTAAAAAGATCACCAAACCTTTACAAGTTTGATAATATTATTAAATTTCATATTTTCATATTTAGGAGCAAAGGCACTTTTGTTTTTTTTTATGTGAGCAAGTGGCAAGTGAGCTGGCGTTTCTAGGAACTGCGTATTCTTGCAACAGCAAAGACTGTTGCGTGGCCCTATCACAGTTGATATTTGAAAACATCCAAAAACTACGGATGTTATATTTAATTATTATACTATTAGTATATTTTGATAGAGTATATCCTTTAATCTTTTCGGATTTCGTAGGATCGATGGGATGGATAGAATCTATGGAAAATTGTTTATCATAGCTGCCTTCAATTAGATATTTCTATTTTTATAATATTTATTTATATATTTTTATAATCTTTTTTAGATTCCAAGAAATATTTGAAGCAGTTTCGCGTTGTACGTTAAATTTACTTAAATTTTATTTCTCAGAAATTCTTGGCTCAATTCCGAATTTCTAATTCTTTATTCCTATTTTTATTTTTCTTCTCGAATGATTTTATTGGTAAGCAGAACTCAAAATGTAATATTAATATAAGTGAAATGAGGTCCCAAGTACGTTGTGTTCTGGCCATATTATTTTATTACGAATAACAATTGCGATAGTCTTTTGATGAGAGTTAGGGTACGTAAGACAAAAGCGATGCTACACTATAGCGAATACTTATGCTTTTCGTCTGGTGAGTGAGGTAGCCGGGGCCCACTTCATTAAAAGGTGGCAACGCATCTGCAACCCTACGTGGTGGTGTTGCAAATGTCCATGAGCGGTGGTTATCACTTAACATCAAGTAAACCGCCAGCTCGCTTGCCATCTTCTTACATAAAAGTAACAGCCTATACATGTCCCACTGCTGGGCAAAGGCCTCCTCTATACAGAGGGTATCAGGGCATAGTCCACCACGCGGCCCCACTGCGGATTGGCGGACTTCACATATTTTCGAAATGTATTTTTTTTGTTATTATTTCGAAAATATGCAGGTTTCCTCACGATGTTTTCCTTCACCACGGAGCACGTGATAAGTCAGCAGTTAAAGTTAAAAACTTAATTGGTGCCGGAACCGGGAATCGAACTCACGTTGCTCGAGTATATTGAATTAAAGGCGAGTGCCCGGACATTGAGCTATCACGGCTCTATCTTCTTCTTACATAAAATAAATAAATAAATAAACCGCCTGTATTAATTGTTGGCATGAGATAAGTCTGTCTTTAAATTTAACATTTATTGTCAGGCCACTTTATAAACCCAAACTAGATAAACTAGAAACTATGTAATGAGACATGTAACCGCTACTTCCAGTGGAAATCAATCCATACTAATATTATAAATACGAAAGTAACTCTGTCTGTCTGTCTCAGTTTCACGCCAAAACTACTGAACCGATTTAAACGAAATTTGGTACACAGATAGTCTAGAGCCTATGTCCTTTACATAGGCTATTTTTTAATTTGAAAAAAGTGTTGTAAAGGGTTCTTTAAAAAATATACATAGTTTTTAAAGGGCTTCAACGTGAGCGAAGCCGCGAGCGGAAGGCTAGTAGACTATATTTTGAGAATTTGGAAGTAATTTGATTTGAATTCTAGATTTTTAAGCTAAACCTTAATAAAAATCATTATCCAATTGATGTCCGAATGATTTTTGACATCTTTATTTACTAGATGGCTTTTATTTATCTATCGAAAGTTCTTCTAAATACAGAACACCAAGTGAGGCTCAGGAGAGCTGGGCTTGAAACGTGGTAGTTTGGTTCCAATATTATTACGCCACCAGTCTCTTTGGCCGCCACAAGTCTCTTCATCGCCTCTCTGCTGTATATACAGCGTGTCGTTACCATCGCGACAATAAATGAACACACGTCTTACGCTATTTGCCAATAATCATAAAAAATATTAACGTTAAACAAAACCCTTAATTAAAAAAAATATTTTTCAAACAAACTAATTAAGTAGAAAAGAAACAAAATTTGTTACATCCTATACAACTACAACTGACTGATTCATACATTCAGAGACTTTTTCATGCGTTGCCACAGCAAGTTACAAGCCTCTCCTTCTAACAGTATGTTTTGTCTCTTTTAAATTCATTCATACGCTTTGTGACCTTTACAAATGAACTTTACGTTACAGTTTTATACGTAAGAGTGTTCTAAAATTCTTTGTTTTGGAAAATTTAAAAACTCTGTAAATATTGATGTTTAAAGAATGTAAATGTTTAATACAATTTTAAAAAGTTATCCTCTATATGTGTGTTCATTTATTGTCACGATTGTAAAGACACGCTGTATATGGGATGACTGTGAAATATTAGATCCTTACATATGAAATTATTAATCCACTTAAAACAAATCGGGAAATTAATAAAACTTAAACTAAAACAATGGGTACCTACCTCATGAATTGAGTGAATCGAACTTGCAAACACGCGTCGACTCTGTGTTACTTTGCTCAACCGACCCAATAATAAAATAAATATAAACTAATTTGACTCAGAAAAAGTAACTTGTGAGTGTTGGATGGACTAAAGCCGGTGTCGTTCACTACAGCTTTCTAAAATCTAGCCAAACGATTACGGCAGATATCTATTATCAGCAACTGCAAACCATGAAGGAAGAACTAGCTGCTAAATAACCGAGATTGGTCAATCGCTCGAGGCCATTGCTGCTTCACGACAACGCAAGACCACACACTGCACAACATACAACCACTAAGTTAGATGAGCTACAATTGGAATGTCAGCGACATCCACCCTACTCCCCGGACCTAGCTCAAACAGATTACCTCCATTTTTTCCGGAATTTGGACAACTTCTTACAAGGAAAAAAATTCAACTCTGACGCGGCAGTCCAAACCGCCTTCAAAGAGTTTATTGATTCTCACCCCCATGGCTTTTTTAAGTAAAGGGATCAATGAACTACCTATGAGATGGTAATAGTGCATAGATAACAATTAACAATTAATGACTTTATATTCTTCCCGCCAGTTTCATATGTAAGGACCTAATATATGGGAGCGGACAAACTTCTTCTACAATTTTGCAAGAACATCCAACTTCCTTGCTGCCGTTTTCGTCTTGGACTCAATGAATCGTCCGAAATAATATAGAGACATGAGGTGGCCGGGCGCTGAGGGGTCCTAGCCTGTACCTCAATTTATGGGTGACTAAGCTTGAGGGCTCCGGCTCGGGCCGTCACGCTATTATTATCTTCACCGGTCACCAAGACCACCAAGCTCTTAGGGCGCTTTGGCGGACGTTCCATGGAGTGACTAGGCTCAAGGGCCTCCGAGAAGGGACCTCGGCTTGGGCTGTCACTCAATACTCGTTTAGCATTCCGATTCGAGGGAGCCCGAGAGGGCCGGACCTCGGCTCGATCGGTAAATATAATATAATTATTATAGCTGTCCATCTAGCCGAGATCATTTACATATTTTGCTGTTACCTATATGAAATAATACATGTTGTTACATTTACTGAGTGTTTTACCGAGAAGACATCCGTTAAAATTGGGTAAATACAATTTTAAAAATAATCATTAACTCAATGTCATGTTCATTAATTCCTTTGTTACAACCTGTCCTTTATTACAACATAAACAAAGGCTCACAAGACTTTTCAGTAAGTGGCATTTAAATACAAAGAAACAATCACACCGAGAATAAACGACGCTTAGCTCAGTTGCCATTATCCTCAAGACTCCATTATCCGAAAAAGTGGGTTCCACAAAGGACATTGCACAGCGAGCAATTAACGCTGAGCCTAAAGCCTTTAACAAAACGTAATAGCTTTATAAATATTTATATTGCCATTAAGTTTATCATTTTATTATGTGTAGATTAATATATACGTTTTTTTTATGTGAAAAGTTGCCAAGCGAGCAGATGGCTCACCTGATGTTAAGTGAATACCGCCACCCTTGGACATCTGCTTCACCCGAGGGTTCCATTGCCTGTGAGAAATATATATTGTTATACATAGTATATAATAATATTTATGTGGATACTTCATGGCAAAGCTTTTTTTTACTGGTAACATTAAAGATAGATCGATACAAGCGATTGATTATACATTATTGCTGTGTTGTGTTTCCGTCACAAGTTTGTTTGAAATTAACTCATGTTCGATAGATAGAACCTGAGATCATTGCAGCATTGATGCGATTAAAGTAAGTGTAAAGGTGTAAGTACTTGATCATCATAATTAATTTTTAATCAGAAGTATTAACGTCTACTCTGTCTCGGTAGAGTTTCTTGTATTGTAATATAGTATTCTTCTATTGTAGAGACTACTTTTTTTTTAAATGGGCGAAGGTTGTAAAGGATCAAAGATTTATCTCAAATTACTCAATTCGGTGCCCTTTTCATTTCCGTATTCTCAATACGGAAATGAAAAGGGCACTACTTTAAGATATAAAGCTTAACTCCTTCATAATCATCACGCATTCTTTTTTTATTTATTTTTTTAAACATTGTCCTTACTTTTAGGATTACATTATCCTGTGTTGTAAGGACGTTTTACAAACATAAATTTAACGTGGACAAACACCCAGATGCGGAACAACTACTGTGGGTCACAGAAATAATTGTCCCGTGTGGGAATCGAACACACGACCGACACCGAAGCCAATACCTTGTCGACAGGGCCACGGAGTCATCTAATTTGGTTCAATTGTTCAAAAATGTGGAACACACGAACGCCATTTGGGTCCAGCAACAAGCGAAATAAACGAAAAAAAAAAATAAGATTCTCAGGCCGAGGTATAATACGTTTTTGGGGTTACACTTCTATTGGC